CTCCTCCTGCCCCGCCACGCCCCTCCTCTCAGTTACGCCCGTTCGTCCCCGCTCCCGTCGTCTGCTCGCCGCGGCCCCACCACCGCCGGAGCCCCCTCCAACGACGGTGGTGTCTATCACCATCTCTCTCGCACCGCGAACCAGACAAGAAAACAACAAGAGAATGAAGTCACACACACTCACACACATACACACGAACACCAAAGGCGGAGGAGGTGCCAACCTGACGCGGAGGGCGGGCCACAAACGCCATCCCTCGCAGCGTTCAGAACACCAAACACCAACTATGCTGATAGCTTCCCCCAGATGCACAGTAAAACACTTATCTAAAACGTGAATAGATCTGCGAAAACGTTGAAACTCACCATTGAGCAGCTGCAGTTGGTTGGCGCACCTGCGGCGCCGTCTTCGCGAGCGGTCGCGCTTTCCGCACGGCCAGGTTGGCAACCGCCGCACTGGAATCTGCAGCCTTTCCGGCCGAAGGCGGTGGCGGCCGGTCCATAGGCGCGGGGCGCGGGCACTCGGCGACTCCGTTGCTGCCTCGCGAGCTCCGCGGGGACCTGGCGGGGCATGGCGGGGCATGGCGGGGCATGGCGGGGCATGGCGGGGCATGGCGAGGCTCGGACCGCGTTCAAAGACAGCGAGGGGAAAAGGCGTTTCGAACGCGGCCGTGTGCTCGCTTATTATTTCATCTCGGGCGGCAACCAGTCGCGGCCCTGGAGGCACTGTGTCACTCGAGCTGACTTCCCTGAAAGCCAACCCGCTCAAAAAAATTGGTCCCATAATGTCACAAAATCAGGCGCGTATTATCTAGGCCACTATGACGGGTTTCGGTTCACCTTCATGACGAAAAGTGATCCGTTTGCCTGAGGCCAATTTTTAGACAGCGAATGAGTTCAAATTTTTGTTACATTGACGAATAGATGCGGACAGAAGAGAGAAAGGAAAGGGAGGGGGAGCGACACCAAGATCAACGTAAACGCCAAGAGCCTTGGCCGTCGATCGATATCGCATGTGATCCCAGAATCTGCCCAGAGTACTGTTCTAAAGTGTGTAATGCAGGCGCGTCTGTACTGAGCAGCCTGAAAGGTGGGAAATCTGTGCCACAAAACCCAAAGTATGTAGGCAGCCTGCGGTGCACCCCCTCCCCCCCCCTCCCCATTCTCCTGTCAAATGCACCTTGTACCGCGTCTGGTGCAAATTCGAATGAATACAAAACTATGGTCTTGGCCAGGGCAACCCATCCACTGCAATTGGTGTGAACCCGATTGCGGTGTCTCCGAGACGTCCCTCCCCGTGTGGGGTCGATGTCCTGGCAGTCTCGTCTCTGCTCTGCTCCTTTCTTTTCTCAAAATAATGCGACGAGGGTGGCAGTTTTTGAACGCGGCCTCGGCCGAAACCATCAGAGGCTCTTAGGCCGTGGAAAAAAATGAGTGTAACTCGTCGAGTCGACTCGGTGGGTTACGATTCTCTGACCCGGCCGCACACTACAAGATTTGAATGACGTAACGATACGATGCGTGCGCCCTGCGCCCGCTCCGAGCATTGACGTCAGCACCCTGGAGTAAGGTACCCTGCCAGAAAATGGACCGGATGGGGGTGTTATTTATCGCCACAGCCGGCGCCGCTTACTTTGGGCAGTTCTGTCATACACACAGTGAAGTTTGACGGAGAAGGGTAGAAATCACATTTCGTATTTTCGCCTCGTTTATTTACACTTTTTGAGACAGCAAAATAAAGTTATGTTGCAAAAAATCATTCCACCAGTACAGAACAAAATTGTCCAGAAATTATTTCATGACACAATTTGTAGCACACTCAATTACAAAAATATCATTTAAAAAAACACGGACTCATTTTTTCTCTCACACTCACACACACACACGCATTTAATATCTTAATATTGCACATTATTTACAGATATGGGCATACTACGACATTTTCTCTTGTTAATGTCATCATGCAAAGTTATCAATTTAAGTTATTCGTTCATGAACATGATGACACTAAGGAAAACAATTGCATAGTATGCCCCTCAACAAGAAAAATAAATAAAAACAACAGGCTTTGTACACATTAACACTACAGTTTGACTCATCTGTCTCGGGATTCAGATGTGCACATATTCTCAGTCTAAACTCGAAAAGTAAGTCGTACCAGAACTCCTTTCACAATAGAACAATGTACTTACTATGAGCAAATCAAGAGCCAGTCCTCTAAATGTAGTACACCAATGAGTGGAAAGAAAACACCCGCCAATATCCTACATCTAAAACGTGACTAATTTGTCTTAGATGGTTCCTCCTCCTTCTCCCTAAAATTCCCACTTAAACAGCACTCTTTTTTAAATTAAAGAAAATGGCAAAACCACACAATACATCTCTATTATCTATTTACGTCACCCTTACTTCAAATTCCATGTATATAGTGTACTTCAGCTAACATAGGAAGAAGACTAGCAAATAGAGCGTATAGAGGTTTCTAAATTGTCTACCCTTTACCCCCGCTACTATCGTCTATCGTGGTAGTAGAGGCGGGAAGCTGTTTAACAATCAGGAACACTTGTGTTCTACCTGCTATAGTTCTGCCTTCGTTATTTGAGGAACACTATGGCCGGCAGGTATAAAAAGTTGCGGTTTGCCTGTTTTAGTGTTTACTATAGATCTGATCAATCAAGTGCAAAAGAAATTCACCCCAAAATATTGGTGTCCCCTTTTTGAAATGCATCTTAACAGTCAAATCGGCCTCACATACCCAATTTCCAACAACTATCTAAATCCTATTTTAAGTCAATTTTGATTCAAATCTGAAACAGTACCTGCTGGCAAGTACTGAGAGAACTCGGCTGACCCTGTGAGAACAGCACACGCGGCCAAGAATGCATCGTTTAAATAGCGTAACTCATTTGACTTACGCCGTTATCAGACCGATGGGTGAGGCCAACCAGTCGGGGCTGATGCCGCAGTTCGCACGCAGCCAGCCAGCCAACCCGCTCGGGGAAAACAAAGCGCTCCATTCCGCACGCGACCACTCGTCAGGCTGGCCTCATATCGATACGGAGGGCGTGGCCGCAATTGTTTATTGCCCGCCGAGCACGAAATCACTTCGCTCCGAGCAGAAACAAAGCAAGGGGCAAGGGCTCATTCCGCCGACAACTTTCGAGGGCGGGCGGCTACGGAAACGTTCACAGAATGGCATAGATCACTGTTCACTGGTTAAAAGTAAGAAGGGCGTAAGTTCAATGGGAAGTCCGAGGAATTACGCCATTTTCACTTTTCACTAGTGAGTTTATCGCATGCATAGGACGGGCAGCCGGCGGCGTCAGCCGAGAGCAGGGTGTCGGTCGCTATTCGTACAAAGGCACGGTCTCTAGAAGAGGGGGGGATCCCCGAACAGCCTCGACGCGTCGTCCACAGTGATCTAAACCGAGTCCCTGAGATGAGGTGGACGACGGCGGCGCGGCGCGGCTCTGGGCGGCGCGACTCTGGGTCCTAACCGCTGCCCGCGCCCCAGTTGTTGAAGAGGTTCGCGAGGCCGTTGGTCCTCTGCCTGACGAACGACTGGAACGAGTTGGCGGCACCCTGGAACAGCACGGGGAGGGGGGGGATAGAGGGCCGGACTTCAGCCGCTGCTGGCGCCCAGGGCGTTAACCAGGGCGGCCAGCCCGCTCCCGGAGTGGGAGCCGCCCGTGCTGGAACTGGAACTGGGGCCGGCCTGTCCAAACACCAGCGGCTTGAACGCCTTGCCGATGCCCTGGAACACGGAACAGTCCCCATCACCAGCAAGCGGCGACAAGCGAGCCTCAACCCAATGAGATTGTGAACCAATGTCGCGACGTCGATTCTCTTTACTTCCAGAAACGATAGGCCAAAACTTAAGTTTTGGAGACAGTAGTGAGGCTAATACATATTTATCTAAAACATTCTATTCATTCAGTGATATTTTTGTATTATTTTTTTTGTATATATATTTTTTTTGTCTTTTTCAATCTCTGTATTGTTTTGTCTATGAAACCATGGATACTCCTCTAAGGTGGGGAGATGGCCTGATCACCAATGAAATGACAAACAAGCTGAGCGAGTTGCATGAGAAGCTTGCATGAGGAACAAAAGCAAAACTACCTACAAGGCTGTTTAGTTACGATATGCCGCCATGCAAGTAGTTGACCGCGGTAAGAATAATAATAAAAAAAACACGAGGAGACAAAATCCCACCACTTTGCAACCAACACAAAATAGCCCCGCTACTCCCCCTAAACAGCAACTACATCAAAAACAAACGATATCGAACACTCACCTGAATAACCAGGCCCATGAACTGGGACACGGCACGGGTCACGTTGATGGCGGCCGTCACAAGTGGTTGGTCACGTCCAGGTTCTTCACCCCCCTGCAACATTGGCAAATTCTCGAGAGTTCTTAGATATTCGATACTGGAAAACAATGAGAGAGAAGCAACGACAAAACGGTACACATAGGTACTGAGTTTCAACACGTTTGGTGCATCACATCCTTTAAATAAAGCGGTCTATATTATCTCCATTAAAAGCCGTTGAGTTTTGCGTTCTACGGAAACGGTAACGTTGCGGGGCGGCTATTTAACGGATTCCTCACGACGGGCAAAGCCCAGCGGGCGAGGAGTGGCCCCTGCGCCTGTAGCGTAGGCCACCCAACGCGCTGGGCTGCCCGGCGGCCGGTTGGCCCACGCGGCGCCGGCCAGCTATCCCAGCCATACTCACGATGTCTGACGTCGCTCCCCTCGGCGGGTCCTGGAATCCGAACAGGCCTCGGAAGTCCGTGGGCCGCGGAGTGGAAGAGGCGGGTCTCTTCCTCTGCCTCTTGGTGACGGGGGCCTCGGACGCGGCTGAAGTGGGCGTCGTCGCGTTCGAGTCTGCAGAGGCCTCCGCGTCCCCGACGGCGGGCGCCGATGTACTGGAGGTCGTCGACGGCCTCTGCCTGGAGCGAGACCTGGAGGGCGGCGGCTGTTGCTGTCCGGCTCGCAACAGCTCCTGGAAGGCGCCAAGTTTTGCATTGAGCTTGCAGTTGGCCTTTCGTTTGACCAAGGCTTGCCCTGCCACAAGCTCGGGCTGTCCCGCTTACCGTGATGAGCGCTTGGTCCCTGAGGGTCTGCTCGGTGGAGCTGACGGGGCGACCTCCGAAAGGCCCGCCGAGGCCGTGACCGCCGCCAGCTCCGAGCAGGGCTGACAGCAAGGCCGCGTCCGCGGCGGCAGTGGGCGAGGGGGAGGGCGAGGAGAGCTGCGATAGCGGGAGATGTCATATAGGCTGAACACGGGAGCCAACGATACGCGCGCTCACAGCTGAGCACGCGGTCGTTTGGCGAAGGTCTTATAATCGTTCACAAAACACGTGTTTTACTTTATTGGTGAGTGCATACTTTTTGAAAATTGTTATCATGGCCGTGATTTTATCGCCAAATTTCAAGAACAATCTCACTAAGTTAACAATGATTTCATGAAAGGAGATTTTTCAAAGAACGAAACAGCACCAAAAGCACGTGGTTTCCGAACCAATTTCTTACCCACTGACTGGATTTGTATCTTTTATTTGTGCAAATATAAGTAATAAATATTCTCGCACATATTTCTGCATTGTTTTGTTCATTCTCTTGTAGGAAATCGTGCCTTTTTGGCTTACAAATTTGTACGAAACAGAACGTAGGTTTAACTTTAGCATAAACGTTTGCACAAAGTCATACAAATACATTTAGCGGGTGTGTTAATGAAAACAGCACGAATTGGTTATGAAACTATGAGTATGAATGATGATATGTCATGTCCGTCTGTGTCGCGATGTGTCTGCGGCGGGGTCACCATCAGTAACAGCACGTAGTCACCGGAGGTGTCCTTGCTTCAGTCGATGAGTCGATCACTCGCTAGAAAGAAGGTAAGGGAAGAAGGACAGAGTGAGGGAAGGAATAAGTAGAGGGAAGGAATGAGTAGAGGGATGGAGAGTAGAACGAGAAGAGGGATGGGGGATAGATAAGGATAGATAAAGTAAAAGAAATTCGTAAGGTTAAGACCGTCATGCAGCTTGCCTTAGTGGGGCTCGAGAGTCCGCCACCAGAGGTGAGCAGGGCCCTGAGAAGGGCAGCGTCTCTCGCCGCTGCGGCAGCCATGCCCTGCAACAATGTGCATGGTGAAAAGAGACAGAGCACAGAACGATACAGCGAGTGAGTGTGTCAGAACCTCGCAGTGCATGTGGTGAAAAAGACATCCAGATCGAGAAGACCCATTCGGATGAAATGTCGAAGCTGTGCAGTTCATTGTAATTTTGGTCCAGGTGTTTTCTTTGTTTGTTTTTTTTTACGTCATTGGAAGCATACTTGGACTATGAATGGACCAAATTGACCAGGCAATGCATGTCAAGAAAAAAAATTGACTGTGGTCGTGATATTATGAGGTATGAAAGCAGATAAGCGTTAATAAGGTACCGTAGGATTAGCGCGAAGCGCGGTCGCGCCGAGGGCCTTCACCCCAGGGGTGCCAGTGCCACCACCCGCCCTGGTCCGAGCCACGACCAGGGCTGCCAGCAGCGACGCCAGTCGCTCCTTAGTTCTAGGGTCGTTAAGGTTTGCACCACTGCCCAGCGCAGCCTGAAGTATCTGGAGCTGCTGCTGCGGGCCCTGGAGGGTCAAGCGGAATCAAGCAAATGCGGCAAAAAGAAAAGAGGCTTAAGTTGTTTGTGAGTTAGCAAGGGAAAATATATTAGAGGGGATGCTGGTATTTTTGTGGGTGGTGCCACGTTTGCAAGGGGAACACTCTGAACAATCGCATCAAGAGCATTGCAGATAGAAATGGACTTTGTAGGCTGACTTTTCGGGGTTGATCTACGAATTGAGTAGCCCATCGCGGGCGGCCGGGTTGCCTATCGTATCAGACCATGTCACCTTACGCCGGATAGGCAAATAGCACGCGGCACACTGAGAAAAAAATTTGGTGCCCGGCACTAAACACTTGTTTAATGCGTCCCACTTTGTCCTCGTGGCAAAACTTTTAGTGCTGGCCAATAGAATTTCCGAGGCGTAGCAATAATGGGGTTTAGCGCCAGGCGCCAAACACGTCTTGTGCTATAGCCGGAGGTGCACTTTGTTTGATGCACGAAGTATGCATGATTGAGTAGTTCAGATGTCACCGCTAGATGGCACCACTATCGAAATGCCTGGATTGTATCTCGCTGGGTGCCCCGGGTGCACACAGCATCAGCTGCTTGGGCAGTTCTCTTGAATTATTCGCGCACTTTACATTAGGGTGCCGCCAGTTGCCGCCACTCGGTGCTATGGCGTTGATTTTTGAAAGGAGACTTGAACGGATAGTGCAAGGCTATTCCACCCGTATGGAAGTCAACTTCACTATTGCACTTCCTGGCTACAGAGTTTGGACCAAATCCATTAAAAATATTGTCCGTGTCATCGTACCCAGTTTATGTTCGGGGAAAAGTTTTAGTTAATGCCTGAGCTTGCATATTCTTTAGTGCCACTGCCTGATCTATTTAGCGCCTGGCACTAAAGCCGGCGCACTAAACGCCTTTTGCCCCTGGAACTAAACACTTCAGTGCGTCGAAAAACTTTCGACCTGGGCACTAAAGTTTTAGTGCCTGGCACCAAAATTTTTTCTCAGTGCACGCGAGCGTGTGGTTGAGTCCAACTATAGGAGTCACCCACTTCCGCCACCGGCGAATCAACCACCTGGTATTTGTGAATTCGTGTCCATGTTTGGCACCACCCACTGAAAAATAGAGGAAGCGTTCAAAAAGAATACCGTCAAGCCATGCCCGGCAGATCCTGGTGCCATAAGCAGTGATGCGAATAGAGCGGCGTCTTCTGCGTCGTGGTCGTGAGAATGCTCATCTAACTGGGGAGTTTCGGGGGTCTTCTTCACGGGGAGCGAAGCGGCGGCAGCCGACTGAAAGAGTGCAGCAGAGAAAGGGGTAGGTTAAGGCATCGGGATTGGCTTTTCAGAGTTAATAAGCTGCAAAGGGGTGACCGCAGGGAAGCAATAGAAATTATGAGGAAATTTAAATTATAGGGCTTGTTAAAGACATAACACGCCAGGCGAATCGGTACGAGTTAAGCGTCGAAAGCAAATGTTAGCTGGGGCGATGAGTTATCATGAAATGGTGTACCGTGATTTGACTAGAGGGGGGTGACAGGAAGGCCAGGGTGTCATCCAAATCGGGAGCGTCGCCCGCTGCTGGATTCAACGCCTTGGGCCTCGGGGAAGAGGAACTTGATTTGCTTTTTGGTGCTACCCTGTTTTGGCCTATGCCAAGGCGGACAGAGGCGCCAGCTTCGTCATCAGTCTGATATGAGGATGAGACATGCGGAACCTGAAACATGGCGGTGCATGAGAGTGGTGAAAAAACGAACAGAGCAAGAATTGTGTGAACCGTGACGAGCATACAGTAGAAAAAGGTAGACCAAAGAGAATTTGCCTGAAAGGAGGAAACCATTAAGAGACAGGTGTTCAGAAGGAAGTGGATCCGACAGCCAACTGATCGTCCTATGACCTATAAAGAAAGAGAAGAACCGAATGTCGCAGCAACAGGAAAGTGAATTTTATATTTATTTTAGTTTGAAAGATTTATGGGTAGTGGCGCTAGTTTCGAATATTGTCAGTTATGAAAATTAATCCCGCAGCCTGTGATGACGATGGTAATGAAATGGAACCCCACGACAGTTAAGCCATCCAATGAAAAGGAACGCGTTTGAACGTATAGCACAATCTAGTACCCCTTCTGTAGCGTCGTCTGCGCCATCATACTCGTCGTAATCTGGACCATCAGCCGATCGAGCGTTCGATTCCCCCACGCGACCTAGTGCCAGGATCATCTTTAGGAGTTGGCTGTCTGTTAACAGCGTCTGGAAATCATTATCCGATTTAAACGGTTTGTGTGCCAAGTGTCGGAGACTCACCCGTCAACTCTTCAAGAGCTACTGCGGTAGAAAATGATTAGGAAACGGCAAACGGTCGTAGAGGTATTGGTAACAAAAACGTCAACTTACAGACCAAAAAGGTGCCATAGCCATAACTCGCTGTCCACTTACTTGGCTCAGTGTGGGAGCGTCAGCCTTATCCCCGTCGTCCTCGCCATGCGGCACTACCCACAGGGAGATCTTGCTACCCGGCTTGGAGGTGGACGGCTCCCCGCCGGCCGGCTCAGCGGGCACGCCCAGAGGTATGTCGAGGGGCCCGTCAACCTAAACATCAAAAGCATTTATAAAACATTAGATTAGGGAGCAGAACCTTTGCTTTGTAAAACTATGTATAGGACATCTAATATCAGGTGTTTTCATACTTAATTAAAATAATACCGCCCTCTTGTGGCAATAGGCTTACATCTGGCGTCGCAGTAGTGGTGGACGTGGTTGTCGTCGACGTGGAAGTGCTCGTGCTGGCCGTCGCCCTGGCCGTTGTCGTCGTCCTGCCGCGCGAACTAACAGCCCTCGGCGTGGCAGACCTCGTGCTCGTCCCCCTGGCCGTGGTGGTGGGGCGTGTCGTCGTGGAAGTCGTTGTTGGTGCGCGGGTGGTTGTCGAAGGGGAGGTCGCAGTAGGGGTAGACTTCGTGCTTGGCGCAGCAGTCGTGGACGCGGTCGACGACGCGGACGCGGTAGTGGCCGCGGACGAGGCCGTGTCGCTGGGCATCGCCGTGGAGGTGAGAGCGCGCTCCAGCGCAATCTGGACGATCTGCGCAGCCAGATATCAACGATTAATATGTATGTCCACCCCTGAAACACGTCACAGAACGTGCCACCCTCATGTGTCCATACAAGGGACCCGCCTTTGAACACTTACCCTGCTTGCGAGTGACTCGCCTCCAGAGCTGGCCTTTCGGCCCTCCAGTGTTGCCTGTACCGCAGCCTGCCGCTCCATCTCGATCTGAAAGAGTAGAACATGAGTAGAATCATGGCAGTCGTAATCGACACTAGTTTTGTAATTTCTCTGAATTTTTATAGCAGAATCTGCTGAAGGTTTATCACTACATTTTTATTTAAATGCGATTCTTTCAAGGGTAGTTTGAATTTAAACATGTTAATCGTATCATCTAATTTTTTTAAAAAAAGTATAAAACGTGTAGAGAACTCCATTATGTACAAAGGCAAACCGTAACCATGTAAAGTTCCACCGTTTAAAATTAACCTATCAAAATTTGAAGCCCATATCAACTAGACACGAACTTGTACCCCCCCC